GGAGGAAACCTAACGAAAATATCTCTCGGCTAATGTTTCATTGAAATGGAAGCAAATTAATGAGAAACGTTAGAGAGAATCGTAGAAGCACATACACTTTAAACTATCCTTGTCTCTATAACAAATTCACAATGTGATTTTCATCTTTCGAATAATTAGAATAAGAATAATAACTAATTAAGTACAATCTTTTGTAGCTTGATGTCAACACAGTATTAAAATTAACTTTATAAGTTTTACTTCCTAGCGTAGTAACTACAACTCATACCGAACTTCTATAAAAGTGAACATTAGTCTAAGATGTGACTTATAATATTTAAAAATGTGAAAGTATAGATGGATGTTTTTCGAATTGATCTAGATGTAAATTTGTATTGATGTAACACACTGTCTTACTGAACACATGGGCTACTATATAGGTTTAATTTTATTCGACGCGGATGAAATCGCGGGCAAAAGCTAGTTGGTTATAAGTAAAACACCACAATCTTTAGCTGTACCTTTTGAATTAAAGCTGGAAATGAATTTTCAGATATTTGGTCAAAAATGAACATTCAGTCAACCTAAATAACTGCTGTTAAAAAATCGGAAGCTACGTTTAAAAAAAAGCATTTTGATGTAGCCAATAAACTAGACACATGAGCACGAAACCGAAATCTATTTCACTTTCAGTGCGAAATAGACAGACCGGATGAAAAATCCGAATGCCGATGGCCATAGTCATTTTTTGTGTACCTTTTTTCTTTTATTTTGCACACAGACGGCGATCTCTAAAATTTGCGAGCGAACCGGTTGCGGCCTAAAAAATATTTTTCATTCATTTGTTCGTACGTGAAAAAAAGGCACACTAAAAATTCCTCACACTCTCACTTTTCGTGTCGTTCGAATAAAAATACGTCCATTTTTTAAATCCGCTCCGACATAGGGCATGTGAAATAGGTTTTCAAGGTCGTTCGCTTTTTTAAAAAAAAATAAAACTATACCGACACTGCAGCTTGCTGGCTCCGTCGGCCGGTCAATATCACGCCATACCCGTAATAAACTGACGTTTTTGAACTAAGCTAATAAATCAATCGCTTTATTTTTTAACTGTTTAGTTCATCTATTAAACGATTTAAAACTTTAAAAACTGAAAGTTATAACAGAAGTAGCGACGTCTAAGAAAAAAAGGTTTCAAGAGAAACTGAATTGCCTACAACACAGTAGTGTTGTAGGCAATTCAGTTTCTGTGTACTCACAGTGATAACATAGAAGCTCTTAGAATCTGTGTAATGAAAGAGAAACCGGCTTAAAAGAGAATAGTTACTAAAAGTGCGAAAGGTATATTATAGTGGTCTGTCTTTTTGACAGGATGCAAAGCCATCACAAGTATTTAACAACATTTGTGTAATACTAATGACTTGGTCACCGTGGGTTTTCGAGACCAACATAATGTTATCTCTGTTTTGTCAAAGATGATGACAGGGATGACGATATGTTTATACAAAGATTTTGGTCTCAGAAACCCACGTTTGGTCACATAGTAATATAGTAGTAATTCTTAAATAAAACAAGGATAGTTCAATGAACTATATTTAGAAGAAGTGGGTGTTTAGTTAGGACCGTGTCAAATTAACATGCGTATTCACTGACTAGCCAAGTATTGAGTACGAATACTTATAGTACGGATACTGAAAATATTGAAAATATAGTTCATTATATTAAATAAGGTTCACGTTTCTATGTCAATAAGTCAGGCAAGCGCCCATAGAAATCCTCTTCTACGAAATCCTTCAAGTAAAATTAACTACCATCTTAATAACTTTTTTCCTTTATTAGTTCTAAGATATTTTAGAAGTTCGCGTTAATAATAGGAAGTTGTTACAATTTAAATTATTGTAAAATAATATTTTCCCTAACTAATTTAGCTTTTGATTTTAGATAGAAATTACTTTCATTTCAAGTAATTCATTTCTTGTGAGAATCTAATAAAGTGTGTCACATTAAGGCTTTCGTTATAAAGAGTTCCACCCTCAGAGAGGCTGTCAATATCTCACAGTGTTACCTTAACTTAATGACTTCCTGTGACGTCTACGAAATTTTCTTATTCTAAGTTACCAATACGTGCACACATTAACGTGCGCTCGTGTGGAGTAACCCCCTAAGTTATTTCCACGTATGCAAATTTGTACTCTCCTACAGATGTCGCCATAGATTATGTACAGCAGATGAGACATTGAAGTTGACGATATTGTAATTGCGAAATGTTTTAATTAATCTTTGTATACTTTTATAATTGTGCTAGGTCTAAATTTTATGAGTTGAGGTTGTTATTTCTGGGATTAATTTTACTAACAACAACATAACTCGTAACCGTAACCGAAAGGGGTAGGCAAAGATGACGGACATCCGTTTAGCGCGGTCCGGACACACCTCTCTCGCTTAAGTAACCTTATTACTTTTTAAATAAATTTCACAAATAATATGCTTGTAGCATTTTATAATTGTGTATGATGATGATAATGTACTATAGCACTTGCATGTAGGTACAATTAGAAGACGAATCTCCGTATTAGAAATTCTATGAGAACACACCTAGCGATACGAGTCTCCCAAAAAACGGAGCGGCGCAGTTGTAAAATTGTCTAACTACCCGCCCGCCGCCCCGCGCCCCGCCCGAGCCCGCGCCGCGCGCACTCATTACGGCGCGTGCGTGCCTCATACATGAGATCACAGAATACGGATTCATTACAGTTATTCTTACAATAAATCAATAGAATTTTTCATAGATATTTTGAGTAAAGACGTGATTATACGAAAAAAACATAGCTATTAAACTAAATAAGATTAATTTTTTTTACTAAATGAATAATATTTATTTGTTAGTTTAAAGAATGTCTCTAAAGCAAAGCGTTGGTTGAGTGCAGTTTTTTAAATGATTCTTACGTTTTCATTATTATATCCTTACCTATTATTAACAAAGTAATAAATACCTATGCTCATTGTCCTAGTAAACTACATTTATGAAGATAAATAACATAATATGCTAGCAATAATTTCTAAATTTTGGGTATCTTAAGATTCACCCCTTCTAATTTGCTCTCATGTGCGCTGTCAGAAGCCGTGCCGCGGCTCAGATCGCGATACTAAAGCGTGTTCATCTCTTTCTAGTTTTGAAAAACCTTCTCCAACCCCCTTCACCCCACCCCACCCCTCACCCTACACCCGAAACCCCTCTCCTAATTCCTTACATATTTAAATTCCACTTTCAACGTTCGTTGGAGTCTTTATATTGTCTCCATATGGGTTTCCGCGTGGTTTTCTATTTCAAGTTTTTTTGTTAATTAATTATCCTATGTTTATATTAAATTAAAAAGCTTACATAAGTACATAAGAGTATATACATAGTATGATCTAGTACATATCTTTTTATCTAATATTATTCAAATTGACACTAGATTTCTTCTCCGAAAGTAGATCATTGAGACATTCCACGAAAAGAATAAAATTACTTTTATTCAATTGACGTAGTTTTTATTTTGTAGTATTTTAATTATTATAATTCTGGCCACTTATAAATAACCAACGCTATAATTATAAAACAACGATATTTGACGAGTTTATCAAAAAAATGACTAAAAAAAAGTTAGGTCTGAAAGTCAAACAACAATAAATTAATTATACCTTTCGATGTACTAACATTACATTACTTATCTACGTTCTTCATCGAATTTTGAAAGTTCTCGTTACAAATTCTTGTGTTATGGAAATGTTGCTTTAAAAGTGACTGCAAACAGTCGACGGACCGCTAACTTAGCCTCCCCACACTATGCTATATTTAAATTTTAAATTCCCTAGAGAAAAACTCTTTAACTCACCTTTAACCAATCAAATATTCTGATAATAAAGACTGTGCGGCCCTTTTAATTGCTGTCGACCTTATCGAAGATATTTTATAGTATTACTAGCTATCGCCCGTGACTCTGTCCGCGCGGAATTAAAAATAAACTTATTAAGCCTCTGTGTTCTTCCAGACTATTTTCTATACGTGTGCCAAATTTCATCAAAAGCCGTTCCAGAGATACTTTTAAACAAACATTCAGCCATTCATCTAAAAAGTCGCATTTATAATATTAGTAAGAAGTACTATGTAGCAAATGAGTAAGCAACATCCTTGGAAACATAGCGAAGTGACACCATCATAGGAAATAGTTTTATTTATAGTATAGGGTGGGAAACGAGTAAGCGGCCAACTAAATTCACAAAAATTGTGAAGCAGACATTGTTTATGACATCTGTAATTGCATATGCGTTACGGACCTACGCATATGCGTCCCCTCCTCCAAAAAACTCCACATCCCCTTACCATCCATTCCTTATAAGAAATAGTAGGAAGAAGACTAAAATTAGGCCTAAAAAGAATAACTGTACGAACCGAAAACATCAAAAAAAGAGAAATATTTAAAAAGTAGCAAGAATTTATTCTAGGAGAATACTTAGAAACGATTCTCGGCATTTACGAATAGATACCTAATTCGGAACCGAAAACGTCAGCGCCAAATACTTATCGTGTCTAAATTGACACAGGTGCTCGGTCTAATAGACTTGACATTACTCCGTTTGCACAGCTGGCGCCATCTCTCCCACATTACGTGAAGTTACAAATATATTATGCATATCTAGGACAAATATTTTAGTGCGATCTCATAATTACATATTCTAAGGTTATAAAAATATTGATAAAATTATTTTAGACTTCTACTTTAAGAAATTATGATAGACAGCTACAGGAAAATAGTTACATCATAAACCTTATATTCTTCACGATTCAAAAGCTAATAATGCGACTATACAGCAGGGCATCAATTAATGTGATAGAGTTTATTATTATTTATTTTATTATTTATTAGGCAAATGTGACATTTTAATAGGGTCAAAAGAACGAAAGTCTAAAAAAATAAAAAGAAAAAAATGTGACAGATTATGATATTTTTTTTAATAATACTTCCTAATTGTTGCAGGTGCATCATCTTTGGCAGATTTCCTCAAGGTAAGATAATTTGTTATAAAGATCAAAAAAAAACTGATAGACATTAATAAAGTACAGACATATACTGTGACCTTTAATTTATAAAAAAATAAGTTTTCTTTGAAAATGTCATCTACAATTTTAATATTAATTTTATTGAATGTCTATTAAGCTGACAATCCATAGAGCATATAACATTATAGCTAGATCCAATCAAATTAAAAGCGATAAATTAAAATGCTGGATTACGATCGCATCCGGTTAAAGAGTAAAGGTTAGAGAGGGATTGCGTTATAATGAAAGTGGATTTTTGCCATTGTGTGCACCAGCTTAAACCGTCATGTGATATCGGCATAATAAGTATAAAATAATACCCCTATTGTGGGGGGAGGGGTAGGGAGGCACCCCGCGGTCGCTATAATAAATTCATTTGCTAGTTTTTCCAATAATTTTCCGATTGGTGGAAAAATGACTGCTCCTCATATCCGATGCGTTTATCTCTTTTTATCGCAAACTAGGCAACGCACACGACTTTACTTCTCTACAGGTGAAAAAATATAAGCTTGGTAACTAAATTGGGTATAATTAAAGATAAGCATGTTGCTACAATATACATTAAAAACCTTGTAAACTTGCTTTTAATATAGTATACTGATTATATTGGCATTGAATATTCACCACCTCCACCGGATGTCAAATAGCGATGCGAATCACACTGCGATTAGTTTTTCGTTGATAAATGTACAATAAAAATATGAGGATTGCTTATTAGAGTTATATAACATTATTTTTAATGATGGTCAAATCCTGTGCAACTTTCTAATTTGTTTTTTGTCTACACAATTGATACTTTAACTTTGGTATTATTTGCAATAAACTAATACTAAAATATGTTTAAAAAAATCAATTCAGTGTACCTAATGACATAAAAATATTTAATTTTATTATATTAAAAGAAGAATATTAACAAAACCTAGACACTGCACTATTTTACTACGCTGTACTATTCGTAGCGCTACGCTACGCGTCTACGATTGCGCTAGCTATTTGAAAATTATGCTAGATAGAGTAATATACTTATACGATACAACCTTTATCGATAACAAGAACAGATGCAGCAAATGTCTCGGGTACCCGTTTATTGTGGCTTTTGTGAAACATAATTTTTACGTAGTTTATGCGTAGAATGTAACAAAAAGTATTAGAGGGCACAACTCGAGAGTTAGGGAGTTTAGATTTTGTACGTCATCTTTCTTAGTCCCGTTTAACTTTCATTTTTTTACAATGAAATTATTATAGGACTTAAAGTTGTGCTATAAAGAAATTTAGTTTCATTAAATATTACTTAAATAAAGTCCACTATTTATTAGTTAATTAAAGTTTTCCAATTTAAGTGATTAAACTTTTTATTGTCAACTTATTGATTAAATCCAAGGGTTAAGTTAAGGGTTAAGATTTATATGGAGGATAGTTGTTAAGTAAGTAGCTTTTTTTATTATTATTATTATAACTAACATTAAAATACTTTATTTTCTTATAAAAAATCGAGTAGCCGTACTTATAAACAAACTGACAGAGGTTATCCTTTAGGTTAGACGAGATATGATTCTTCAAGATCCCTTTGAAAATTCAGCGACTTTGTTCGTATTTATACCTGTAAGAAAAAGACTACGACCCTTCTCCGGTTGCAGAGTTCTATTTTCACGTCGTGTCCCTTCTTGTCCCGTCGTGTCCCGTCTTCTGTCCCGGCGTAGCACGTCGCGCGGAAACACTGAACGTCTTTTAATTTACCGTCATACTTGCTACTAATTACGATTCTCTCTTCAGATTACGTTTCTTACAATTTTTGTGATATTTTTTTTCTTGTTTGCGACAGACTTAAGACAAAGATTATTTTTATGGAGATAAGTAAAATGGTGTTGTAAATTTTCGAATTGGATTGGGATAATTGAGCTGGTTTATGTTCATTGTTACGTGTTCTTAGTTTATGTATCGATAGATTTAAAGATACTCCCATTTCAAATAATTTTTCTAACGTGTTTCTACTCTGGTTAGTAAACTAAATAATTGTGATTTCTTCTATATTAATGAACACTAATAATTGCTTTGCACTATTTTTTACTTAAAGAATTAGTCAAATAAATGTGTTTGAGACTTCTACGTGAGTCACTACACTGTTAATAAAGAAATTATTGATTTTATTGATTCCTTGATTTTGGGTAAAATTTATGTTTTAATTTCAATCCATTCAATTATTTTAGAAACAATGTCGTCGCAAGAACATAATTTACGTAATGACCCCGGCGCGGTCGCGAGCCGCGGCCGCAGGAATTTCATATTCAGGGAAAGGATGCGACCCCATGCAATCTTCAAATACCGATGTAAATATAAACTATGGCCAATCAAAATAAATGCTTCCGTGACTATAACCGATAGAATTGTCCTCACAAATCAACCGCAAGCAGCACACCGGCACAGCGGCAGAATGCGAAAAAAACCCGCGCCGTATTGTTTCTACTAATAAAAAGTTCTAATAAACATGCAACTAAGCTACGGGCTTCCGGCAAATAAAACATAAAAATATATCCTATTTTCATAGGGCGAGGGTGGCGCCCCCCCGAGTGGGGGTGCTCTCCCCCCATCTGCGCAAAAACCCAAAAACATCGAAATGAAAATGAGTGTAGCAGGGAGGCAGCGGAGCCTGTGTTGGTAATTCATTTTTAACATTATACTTGTGTGAGTGTTTAAAGTACAGTCGATCGCATTACCTTAATGTGTAGTTTGGACGAAATTTGAGAGGTTTTTTTTTAAAATTCAAATGTATAGTACACAATCATTTAAGGCAATCGGTAAGTTATATAAGATGAAATGGCGGGAACTCTGGCGACTTGTTGATTTTTTAATTTCTTATGTAATGTATGTAATATAAATATTACGTCGTACCTTCAATTTAATAGATACAGTGTGTTCCTACAAGTTAACCTCTTCCAATAAATATTAAATTTATTATTAGGTAATTGTTCAGTAATTCGTTTTTATTATATAATGTAAATTAATATAATTTTTATTCCTCTAATGAGAAAAGCTTATCCTGAGTGTACTGGGCGCGAATTCGCATTGTACTCCCCTACACACTCCTACACGCACTAGCGTGATAATAAAACGCAATTTTGTATTAGATTTAATTTGAGTCGCACACACGTGGCGGCGTGCGTGCGTGTGTGCGTGCGCGGAAGTGTGCCGCTGCCTACGCACAAATTGATTACGATCGTCGACGAAAAGAGGAATTTGCATAGACGTGCCAAAGGCACTGTGAGATGTGGTGTAGGCAGCAGGTAGTGTAAAGTAGTGTATAGGGCATTGGGCAGTCGGGAAGTTTCCCGCGTGTCGGCGCGTGCCTTGGCCGTGCGGGTCGCATGCGTGACAACAAGGTATAGTGCAAGTGCAGGCGTCTGAGACGCGGCATCAGTTAAGGCGCGGCCCTCGCCCGCCGCGGCGCGCCGCCGAGTGAGCGCCCGATTTAAAAACTATACGAACGAACCTCCGCGCAGAGAACCCCGTAATACCACCCCCCGCGTAATGATTTTTTGGCGATGAATTTATATTCGCGCGCGAGCGGTGCCACTTTTTCGACCCCCCACCGACTCCCCACCCCTCTCATTAACGCAACCCAGATATGCAATTCTGATCTTTGACGAGGAGGCTGTAGTGTCGGCGGGCGCCTCGGCGGGAGTGGAGCCCAGTTTTGTTTTTTACCCGCCCGGCTTCATTATTGATGGCATCGGTACGGTAATGCGGAAGCATGTGTGAACGTTTCATTACAAAAGGTGGACGCTGCCCGCGTTAATATTGCAGACTCGCCGGACCCGGCCGGACGGGAGGACGCTTCCGATACGCCGCACCAACAAAAAAAAAGAACATAGCCCTCGCACTACAAAAAAAAAATAAAACAAGAAATAAATAATAAACAAATTAAAATTTAAACTCCGAGGTCTCGGTACTTTTTTAATTTTTCTTCGTTTCGGCGGAACTCTTTGAGCGCGTGTCTGCGAAAGTTTTCGGTGGAAGTTTGTCGAAAGTTAGTGAGGTGCGTGTGTGGCCGGCGCGCTCGCGTGACGGATTGGCCGGCGTCCGGTCTCGCCTACGAACTTTTCACGCGGCACATATATATTTTTTGTTTTTCTTTACGTTTACTAGTGCACTTCGCCGACGCCGACGTCGAAGCGGCCTCGTTTGTTTATCCGGCGCGGTGTTGCCTTACCGGACATTGACTTCTAGTGTATTTGTTGATGTTTTGTTTATTGTTTTTGTTACGTTTTGACGTCGAGCGAGTTCGTCGAGAAACAAGGTAAGTGTTATCACATAACATAACGATAGAAAAAAAAATATTTTAATAACCCCACACAACAGATTTTTTTTAATTATCAGGTGTAAAAATGCTATTTTTTCTTTTCAACAGTCATGTAATAACTTGAATCATATTCAAAAATATTTAAAGTTTGCAATGTTGTGATTTAGGATGTTAATGTTATAATTTCAATTTGTCCTACGAATTATTGCAACCCTTTGTAGAGTAAACTATTATGATGCTAATAGCGATGTGGCGATGTCGAACTGTCCGAGGGTCCAGGCGCGCTGCACACGGGCCCGGGCCTCGACATTAGATAAACCTGCATAAATAATCAGTTCTCAAGAATAGCTAAGGATTTTGCACCTATCCGTGACCGTTAAACCGCATTCAATGTTTAAGCGAAACCAAAATTTTGTATTTGGAATTTTAAAATCGTTAGGGATTTTTTTAAGATAACAAATATTTTAAGCAGCTTTGTTTTAATTTAATAAATGAAATAATTTCTATGTAATAATTAATTAAGATTCAAAAAATGTTTAAACATACCGGATTAAGTTTGTTTAAAAATGTTAATAATCCTAAGCAAAATCTAGACAAGATTTATTCGGCACGCATTCATAAAAACATTAAATTTATATCTACACTACGAAACTAGTAATTTTTTAATATT